AGGAAGTACTGTATCAACAAGTCATTGAAGGAAACATTAAAGCTATTCACAAAGATGATGGTTTTGAGATCTAGATTTAGGTAATTTTTGGTTTTATCTAAATTAATCCTTATTGCCTAATAATGAATGCATTGACACCCCCGAGAGGTATGATGTGCTTGTCTTGGCCATATCTGGAGCCCATGGTTGTTTATTTGGAATGAATTGAAGGCTTGCTTTTCCATACACTTCAATGTGTTTTTTTTAAAGAAAGAAACAATTTGAAGCTTGAATTTTAGAATCTCAAAATGGGATGACAGTTTGCAAGACTCACAGCAATTTTGAGTATATGTGGTCTTGTTGTCTCCTCACTTTCATATAGAAATCAATCTTGCTCTCTGTTATTTTACCTAAAAAAAACTCCAAATTGATAATACAGCTCCTTGGAGTTTTTTTTTGGGAAAGTGATGTAGGTGAACAACTGGGGTGCAAAAGAGAATCGGTTTAGGTATAGATAATCAATTTGATGAGCCCTCATAGTAAACGAGATTGCCATTCAACGAATGATCGGTAAAACTCCACCTCATTCGGAGTACAGCCAAGTCTATGAGTCATCGTATAAGAGTTTTGCTACAGACTTATGGGTAGGCCAATACCCTGTCCCATTTAATGTCAAATAATCTTAGAGGCTTTGTAGACAAAGGTTTATTTTATACAGTATGTCAGAGGTCTTGACGGCCCATATGTATTCATATTTTAAGAAAAATGGTTCAGTGATACAATATTGTCTACTTACAATTGTACATTACGAGTTATGGCCATGTTGGCCCATGATAGTTACAAAAGGAATGAATAAGTTTCAGAGTGGTTCGCCCAGGCCAGTGCGGTACCAGGTGCCAACCACGCCTCCCAAGGTTGGGGCGTGACAATTATGAAGCACCGAGGCCTGAGATAAAGAAAGAAAATTGTGAGGAAACCGTTAAGGCAACCTGAACTCATTAAGATGAAAATGGAAGAAGGTATACCCGATTCTGCGCCTGCTGAGCCTCGTTGAAAAGACTTGGACCATTTACCTCGTTCATCTTCACTTGGTCTTCCTCAATTACCAAGGAATGGAGATAGCTTGCCACTCCAATAAGCCCAGAAAACATGCCGGTATCCGCTAGCATCATGGACATGACCATCTTCTTTTGTCAGGGTCCACATTTGGGGTCAAAAACTGCTTTTGGAGCTTCGAGCTTGAACTCAGCCCACATTCTCCCGGTTGCATGACCCTTTTTGAGATACCCAGGTGGCCAAAGCTAGAGTAATCCTCTAGCATGTCGACGTCCACACCCTCGAAAAATGAGTTAATGGCTTCATCTACAGCCTGGGACGCTTTGGTCGGCTTCTCTTCGGTGACCCGAGCTTTATCTAAAATGGCATCCATACGAGGATGTGACTCTTGAATGTGGATGATGGCCTCGCTTTCAGAGATGCCCCTCCTCAGGCCCGGAGGGGCTTCTTGCGAAGCAGCATCCACACTTTCTTCTTCGGGACTTCGAGCTAAGGAGGATTCAGCCCTACGAGCATTCCCCTTTGGAGACACCGGCTCTTGGTCAACATCGATCAGCTCATGAGTGACAACTCCATATCCTCGTCATCCTCGAGAAAATCCTTGAGCCGATGGAGAGCTTCAAAATCCAGGACTCGGGCACCCGAAGTCCTTTTGGTGCTCTTTCTGACCCTGAGCACGATCCTTTTTCTCTTCTTGGCCTCGGGAGGAGCATCCGAGGAGTCAGGGGATATTTTCTTCTTCTTCTTCTTCTTCTTCTTCTTCGTTTTCTCCTCCTCCTTCTTCGCAGCAGTTTCAGCAACGATCTGTAGAGAAGCAGAGGGTTGAAGTTACGACATCGATGATTTCTCGAAGTTTGGTAGTTTTGGGCAAGCCTGTGAAAAAAGGACTTAGCCATGGCAATAACAGAATAAAAAATTCAACCGAAGAAAGATACTTACCATGAGAACGAGACTCTCATTTGCCCTTGGAGAGCTTACGCCACTCACGCTCGGAATAGGTGAGCTGCTTGCATATACCCTCGATCCACTCCCTAAAGTGCGAGACCGTATTGGGGACTTGGGGGACAGCTGCATGTCAAATTAAAATCGTCATGAGAATGAAAAATAGACACAAAAAAATACTTTGATGACTTAAGGGGAAGTAAACTTATAGTTTGAGTTCCACTTCTCGGTGAACGACATGAACTCGGAAGGAATGATGTGCTCGGTCTTTATCCGACCAAACCTACCCAGCCAACCTCGGTCCCTATTTACGTCTATACATGAGAATGGAGTTTTCTTTGCCCGACGGGCAAGTTTGATTAACCCTCATCGGAAGATTCGAGGGCTGTAAACTTGGAGCAGGTGATCAACTGTGAACCGAGAATCCTCCGTATTGTTTGTAAAGTGACAGAGAAGGGTCACGATCCTCCAAAAAGAAGGGTAAACTTGGAGAGGCAAATTTTTTACCTCTTGCAAAGTTGTAAGACCACCGTATCAATAGAACCAAACGTGAAAGGATACGTGTAAACATTTAAGTATCCTCCACGTGCGTCGTGATGTCCTCTTCAGGATTGGGAAAGACTATGTCCTTGCCTTCCCATTTACAGTCCTCTCGGACAGCTTCGTGCACTTCCTCCGTAATGGAGCAAACGTACCTCCATGCCTCTTCACCTTTATCCCCTTGTGTGGAGGCTTTTTCAACTTTTAAAGTCATTATCTATAGAGCAGTCGTCGGGGATAAAATCGAAAAGAGGAGGTCTTGGGGCTACTATCGGAGTCGCTGCCTCGATGCTAGTGGCTGAGGAAGAAGTCGTTGGAGCAGTGTTTCGGGGAACCGACTTTGAAGTTTTAGCCATCTTTGTGGAATATGAAGATTTGAAGGTTTGAAGATTTGATATGAGGATTTGAAGGTTTGGAGATGAGCTATGGAGGTATATAGATGTGAAGAATAAGTTATGAAGATTTGAAGGATTGGCAAACAGATGAGGGTATAAAAAACCCGAGGGTAACTCAAAGAAATTCGAAATCAAAAAGTAAAAAAGTGAAAATAGGAAACCGGAGCTTCTATGGGGAAAGAATAATGAATGCATGAAATTTCAAATTCGGTAACTACCGAGGATGATCAACCGACGACTGACATGTGTCCAAAATTAGAGCGTCGTGACTGATGGGACGTTTCAGTTCGTCAACTTACTTATGGTGTGCGAGGGAAGGAACCGGGGTCAACTAGTCATTTCTCATCGCTCCTATAATCTACTTTTTGAGAAGTGAGGGGACTATTTGTGTACTGGTAAAATTAGGAATAGATTTACCCTCGATTTTTCGATGAAGAAGCGAAGAACAACGTTATTCGTTACTAGCTCGAATGAGTCTAAAGGTACCCACAGATTGGAATCGGGGGCAGACGAATGACACGTCGAGAATCGAGCATGGTCGAACCCGGAAAAAATAAGCTTGAGCGAAATGAAGAATTAAGGGTAAAGGACGGCTAAAGAGGACAAAATTGGGAGCTGAAATATCCGCCATCAGCCGGATATTGCGTTACGAATAACTTTTGTTATCAATTGCGGATCATGTTTTCTTAGGAGAAAAGGAAAGGAAGGACTTTTACCTTATTTAGACTTGTATTAGGGTTAAAACTCCTCTACTATATAAAGAGGGGAACCTTTTTATTTTTGGTCATTGTTGGCACGCATATCAAAGCATTAAAAGTTTATTATAGCTCTTATCGTTTGTTTAAGTATTCTTCAGTTGTTCATTGACTTAGCTGTATCCTAACTCCATCTTGAGGGCTCATTTGTGGTTGATTATTAGCGTTTAAGCCTAACACGGGGCTTAATTACTTCAACGTATTAGTTTGATTGTTTATTCTCATTTCAATTATTTACTATTCTTTAATCATTTGTGTTAAATTAAACCACATATCCTTTAAATCGGGTATAACTTTAATTGTTATATATTTTAAGGGTAAACAAAGGTGAACATATGTTCATGGATTACTATTTTTATTGATTTGTTCAAATAATAATAATTCCATTTATTCTCTGTTCTTATTTATTATTTTTATAAGAAAATTATTCCAAAATACTTGTTATTTTACAAAATCAAGAAAGAACTAACGAACAGAAAAAGGTGAGCATTTATTAGAAAAAAGTTAATAAGGTAAAAAATCGAAAAATAACCATAAAAGGGCAAAAAATGTGATGCCCTTGACGGAGGACGGGCTGACGAGGGCGGGTCAAACAGGACTGACAGGCTTCTAGGTTGGCAAGCTTATGAAGAAGGACAACATATGTCACCTTAGGCGAATCCCACATCGGAATAGAAGAGCAAAATAAAGAGATTCATAAGTCATGACACAAGTTCACATGGTACACACTTTTGGGGCTCGAGGTAGTGCCCGAAAGATAAATCCGTATGGACCTAGACCAAAAGCGAACAATATGTGCCATGGGCTTGGGTCCTGATAAAAAAAATACTCATAACATATCAAATCTATTCTATGATTGTCCTCTATTAATCTATTAACCATAGATTTTGGGTATATTTTTTCAAAAAATATTTTGAAAATACTGTTTGTTCATGAAACATGATCAGTTTTTGAAAAAAAGTTGTTTTTTTTTCAAGTTCTCAAAACTGGTTTAGGGCAGTTTTTGGGTTTTTTTTCCACTCATAAAACTTTTAAGTTTTTTTTCTCCAAATAAAGTGCATATCCAAACACAACTTCAACTTTCAAAAATTATTTTTCGACATAATTTTAATTTTTTTTTTCAAGTTTCAACCAAATCTATGTCCAAACGCTAGCTATATGTTGACAATTACCTTAGGGTCTAAAATGGAATAGTAGTATTTCAATGGGCAGTAGAAGGAATATTGTAAGTTTAGGAGCCTAAACTGAAGTACAAACAAGTTGGTGTGTCTGAAAGACACGCTTTTAAACTTCATTGGTAATAACTAAACAACGAAAAAAAGTAAAGGGAAGCTTCCGGTGCATCAATGTGTTCGCTGATTTGAGAGCGAAAATTTAAGACAGTTTCAATTTCCTCTTCCAGATCTAACGCTTGCCATTCACACACACACACACACACACACACACACACACACGGGGAAAAGAGAGCAATAGATTCATTAATTGATCGATTGAAGTTCAGAAGATTGGCGAAGTAGTAATATAGATTTTAGATGAAGCTATTGAAGCTGGCATTTTTAGTTGCTTTGGCATCTGGACTTGGAGCTATTCTCATCTACATCACTGGTTTCTCCACTCCACGTGCGTAGATAATTCATTTACCAGTTCTTTTATTCGCACTAAAATATAGAAAAAAATTCACAATTTGGGTGTGCACCGACTTGTGAATGTGAATGAATTGATAAAATTTGTTCGTTATATGTGTAGATGGATCATATCATGTCTCGGATGAGGATTTGGAGGCATTACGAACTCTACAGAGTGGTTTCCAGAAGTGCGTGGTGAGTTGGACTTGTGTTGGCTTTTGGTTATGCGTTTTCAGTTTTGATATGGAAGTTTCTTCTCATTGCTTAATTAAGCTTTAAAGTATCTGAATTGTCAAATACAAAGGTGAATCTCTATTTGTGCACTTCTTTTAGTTACGGCATTGGCGAGAAGCTAGAAAATGAAGGAATCTTAGGCTTCATTGGTATATTACTGTTCAATTATTGCTAACTTAGATCGCGGGACACTAAACCTTAGTCTGTAATCTAGCATATCTAGACTTGTCTGATTGAACGTCTTTTACCTAATATTTCATGTTAAATTGCGGTGCAAAGATCAGAATCAGTAACTTGCTCTTTTAGGCAGTAGGCTAATATTGGTTAAGCTTAGGTCAGTGTTTGTTACCTCTCTCTGTGTGTTTTCTGATATCATTAGTTTAATATCTGCAGCATTTTCGTTTTGCTAAGTATATGGAATGACATTCTTCATAAGTTTAAGATGAAAGCTGAAGAATAATTTTTTTCTAAGTAAGCAAAAGGTTTCATTAATGCCCAAAAGGCAAGCACTAAGATAGTGCTGGTTTTCACAAAAGAGAACCAACTCTTCACGATCAGCTTTCTCGTAATGCATCTACCAAACTATTCTCATAATACATAATGTAATTTACACCAGAGAGCTAAAATACTAAAACACTTTAACTTAAAAATATGTCTGAGGTCTTTCATTCGCAAAACCCAAGCAATGCAGCTGGTATTTTGTTCTACATCCCCTTCAATTTTATCTGAACTTACATCCATCTCACCAACAAAATAAATTGGCATCACTCATTCAACTCTATAAATTTGAGAAACAGTACCCAAAATTGCGCTGCCACAGGGAAATGCAAATAGGTGTTCATTTATATGCTCCACACTTGTTGCATTTGCTGCATGATTGCAGTCTTCTCCTCTGCAAATTCCTCTGTGTCAAGCGGGTATGATGCACCGTTAACCAACTAAAGCAAGTGTATTTATAAGGGGCATTGCCATTGGTCTTCCATATCATTTTCCACATCCACTGTAAATCTGAGTCCAATGGTGGTGAGGCTTTGGTAGCAAGACTTACAGTGAACCTTCCACTACTGATAGCAGTCCAGATCTGTGAGTAAGATTTGTCTGAAAAAGCACTAACCTGCCCCAAATCTTGGAGCTATTTTATCCGTGCTCCAATTAAAGCATTCCTTCTAAAACCAGTGCAGTCGTTCCTAGTTCTGCACTGAGCAATAGTTGCTTCTGTCTCTGCTGCAAAGCTAAATAGATATGCGTACTTTGGCTTCATGAGGGGTTGAAAAAACTGAAGAATACTACTCTTTGCAATATTTTTGAGAGTTCTGCTTTTTCCCCCTTGGCAACTTCAGTTGTAGTGAGAATATACTGTGTTTTGGTTATTGTGTTTGTGGTTTATACGTGAATGACCCGAGATTGCTATGCTTCAGCTGTCAGATTTTTAAGATTGGTTGACATATATCTGCATACATTGTTTTCTGGAGGGGTTGAAAAAGCTGAAGAGCGCTGTTCTTTGCAATATTTTTAGAGTTCTGCTTTTTCTCCCCTTTGGTAACTTCAGTTGCAAAACTAGTGAGGATATACTTTGCTTTGGTTATAGTGTTTGTTGTTTATACATAAGGCATGAGAAATGACTGGGGATTAATGTACATCAGCTATTAGATCTTTATGATCGGTTGACAACATATTTCTTCAGACTTGTTTGTTATATTTGCTAACTTTAAAGTGATGCAGAGTGCAAATGGATTAGGTTTACAAGCTGTGAGTGGCAGGGACTATTGCGAGGTTATAATGAGGTTTCCCAGTGAAACAGTTCCAAAATGGGTAAGTTTTTCTTTCGTGCACTGCAACCCCCCAAACCAAAAAAAAAACAAACAAAAAAAAGCTCTCCATGTTTCTCTGTCCTAGCTACCATGCTAGTTTGATCTTCTTCATCATTATAATTCTGACACATCAAAAGCCTAATTCTCTTTCTTGCACAAGAACTTGATTGTCCCTTTCTCACTGATACTTATTTCATAAAATGCAACTTGCAAATAGTTGTTGAATATCCTAAGCTAGTAACTAACCACCTTTTTTTGTTCCACATCCAATAGAAAGATCCAAAAACGGGAGAGCTTGAGGGCTTGTCATATGAGCTGAATTTATGTGAAGCTGTGGCTATTTGGGAACAGGTCACTAAGTTTTTCACTTGACTACAGGATTTAATTTGTACTATTTGTGTTATTATTGAAATTAAAGTGTTCTGCTTCTCCAGCTAGAGCATTTGCTTGAAGCTGGCTTACCTAATATTTACAGCTTGTGTATTGTTTTACATACAACAATTGATTTAAATACAGTGGGATGATTGCTCAGGTGAGGAACAGTACCACAGTACTCACTAAAGAGTACATTGATGCTCTACCAAATGGATGGGAGGACTATGCATGGCGGAGGATTAACAAGGGAGTACTCCTGTAAGCGTTATCTCTCACTCGACCATATGGTTCTTGACATTGTTGGTACTATCACGTAGAATTCCTTAAATATATAAGTGCATAACTAGCTGCATAAACATGAACGGAATGATTGAATTTTTCTTCAAACAGGCAAATACACTATAGATACTTGTCCTTCTAATGTAATACGTTATGTTGCTAACTTTTTGGATCAGTAAAGAAATTTCATTAATAGCAAAAACAGCGCTAAGAAAGTGCTAGAATATTTACATCAGAAATTCAGAATCATTCAGCAGGCCGCAAAAGGCAAAAAGGCCAGTCTAGCTCTAAGCCATAAACATCACCTGCCCATGTAATGATCCTATAACTTCTAGCATAGATTCAGCAACATCTGTATACTCCATTTTGCACAAAAAAAAGACAGTTAAGTTTTGTCTCTACACTGGATTATACTGACCCTCGACGCACCTCTAGTTCCTCTCTTCTCGTAAAACCCACCAAATACATGCTGGAATTGTATTCCATTTCTTCAAAATTTCTTTTTGCCTGTCTTTTCTGAACCAGCAATATAGTAGCTCATAAGTAGTCTTTGGCATTACAACTGTAGCCCCTATATACCAAAACATAGCTGCCAAAATTGGTGGGATACAGAACACTGTAGGAATAAGTGATCAACACTTTCACTCTCTTTATGTTGCTAACTTCTTGATCTAATATAACTGAAATCTTCTATGTGATCTTACAGCAGTGTGCAATGTGTATTTCTATATCATAGGATTGTTAACTCTTAATGTAAGGCAAAGTTCTTCAATCTTTGATTAGAACTTGAAGATTACATGAACTTCAACTTCCTGTAACTAAAGAATCTGGGTGGTGTGCTGATTATAGTGGATGCATCACTTTTCTGGTGCAGGAACCGATGTGAAAATAGAACTCTTTGCATGGAGAAGCTCTCTCTAGTACTTCCAGAAAGACCACCTTTATACCCAAGGCAGTATGGTCGATGTGCTGTTATTGGAAACTCGGGGGATCTTCTGAAAACAAAATTTGGCGATGAGATCGATAGCTATGAAGCTGTTTTCAGGGAAAATGGAGCACCGATACAGGTTTTGCAATCTTATCAACTTCTTCGTTTCACTTGCTTTTGTGTACCCTTAACACCTCCCTCTTTATTGTTTTGACAGAACTACACGGAATTTGTGGGCTCCAAAAGTACATTTCGCCTTCTTAATAGGGGTTCCGCTAAAGCTCTTGACAAAGTAGCGGAGTTGTATGGTATTGGCACCATTCCACTTGTTGTAGGGTTTGATCTTTATTACAATCATGTTAAAAATCTTAAATTCTACAGACAAAGGAAAGGAGGTGCTGATAGTCAAAACAACTATACATGACATCATGAACAAGATGATTCGGGTGAGTATGTTCTTCTGTAATTGATAAGCATGGAAGTTTAAATTATCTTATTGTTTTGCATGATGTGCAATGACTTAGACTATCTTAAAGAACCATCTACCATTGGAGGAAGTAAGAGAATATGTTCCATGGAATTTTAATATTTGATCTGGATCCTGGTGCACTTAACAAACCCATACCCAATGTTCACCTGCGAGATGATCCATGTTGATATGATGATGGTTAACTATTATCCCCAAGCTTACTTGTTAGAAGACTGAATGTGTATTTCTTCGTAGCAAGACAGAGAAGAACAAAATTATTCGTCTGGATGGTTTGGAGGAAATAGATATGTCATATGGTTAGAGAAAAGAAGATATGAAACAAATGGGGTGTTTAGTATTGCATCCCAGAGAACTGAGAGTATCAGTCATGTTGTGTAACTACACTAGAATTCTGCAATGTAGAATGTAAGCACAACTATAATCATTACACTGACTGCACATCCCAAGCTGACTTCTGTGCTGTTGTTTGGGAACTTCTATCTACTAAGCCAAATCTATGGTGTGTTATTTCTTATATCTAGTTTGGGAAGACGTTTTCCCTTTTGAAACGAAATAAAAACCAGAATTTTGGTTTTGTTGTCTGTGTGTAAAATACTTCTTTGTTATGTGCTGCTTGTTATTGTATAGCTAATGTATCCACTCCAAAGTGTTTTGCCTTAAACTAGATATTTCGCCATACAATACAATATAGTTGTTTCTCAGGCAGAGTGGAAATTATTTATTTACACCTTCCTGTGTGGTATGTCTTTCTGTAGGAAGTTCCAATTCTCAACCCAGTATATCTCATGTTGGGTGCATCCTTTGGTTCTGCAGCAAAAGGAACTGGACTAAAGGCTCTAGAATTTGCCCTTTCCATGTGTGATACTGTTGATATGTATGGTTTTACAGTTGATCCAGGCTATAAAGAATGGTAAGATGAAGCTAAAACAGCTTATAGCAGATTCGTTTTATCTAAATATTGTAGAACATAGTGACCAGATCTTCATGTCCAGCATACCTGATCAGAAAGTGTTTGTATCATCTCAGGACCAGATATTTCTCAGAGTCTCGGCAAGGTCATACACCTCTGCAGGGAAGGGCATACTATCAAATGATGGAATGCCTAGGGGTTAGTGATAACTGCTTTTACAAAGATGCTAATCTGTTTACTTTTCCCCAAATAGTGTCTTTCATCACTTCAGTTATAATGATAAATCTAAGGGGTGGTAAGTTGTCCATATTATGAAGAAAAATATAGTTAACTGCTTAACGTTAATTATCAAAGAAGAAAGTAAGCACACTTATCACAGAAGAGACAGAGAATGGAGATCACAGATTTTCCTGTAACACACTTTCACATACATGGACCTTGTAGACAGAGGCGGATCCAGGAATTAAATCCTATGGGTTTCACTTTCAAGGTTTTTAGCATTGAACCCATTACATTTTTAAAGTAATGGGTTTACATCTACTATTTTTACAATTTTAATGAATTTTTACATATAAATTTTTATTTCGCGTTGAAAGTTATGGGTTCAATTGAATCCGTTGGTTGAACACTACATATGCCTCTGCTTGTAGATACATCCTGGAGGCAGCCTAGTGCACTAAGCTCCCGCTAAGTGCGGGGTCTGGGGAAGGGACGGGCCACAAGGGTCTGGATACACCCTGGAGGAACACTAAAATTTTACCCTAAAATAGAAAATTGAGAAACAGTCATAAGAGAACTAGTAACAAAGCACTCGGGCGCTTCCATTTCCGGCTGATGTTACTTTTTTTTCTTTCACAGTTTTATGAATTTCCTTCATTGATAAATTGCCAATCTAACTTTTATCAAATTTTTAAAGCTTATTAAAATCCATTCCCCAATGCGAGCGGATCCAAATCGTGTTGTGAAGTGGTTATCCAGCCGCAGCTCAATCACTGCTGCCCGAATTGCATCAGAGAAATTGCTGAGGTAAATGATCATATTTCCTGCTGCCGCAATAACCTTTAATTCAATTGTCAAGAAATCCACATCCCAATGTAGTCTCAAGTTTCTTTGTTCAAATTGTTTGACAATTTCATTTAAGCTCGGTCTGCATGTCTCTACAGGAGGGTAGGAGCTGGATCGACCAATCTTTTGGCTACATGCTCCATCATTAAGAAACAAAAAGGAAAGAATGTGGACATATCAAACCTTAGAAAAGCAGCCGTTGAACATCACAAATATGTAAAAGGCACTACAATGTATCCTTTGGAGCACAATCCAGGACATGGCCAACTCTGCACAGTTACCAACAAATTGATAATCAGAAAACTGAACTAACAATAAGATCATTAGACCAGATTTCAGGGTTATTCTCTGAAAAGGGTCTTGCGTGCCGTGGGAAGATAGCCTGCCAATCTTCTTTTATGTGCATTTTTTGACCACTCAACTGTCTTCAGAATCTGCAGCGCTTGAGACCTGTGAATGTTACACACAACGTTGGTTTAAGCCTTATTGACGAGGCACGTGGAAGGTTAAGGTGGCTCTTACCAAATTATACGACATGAGTTTTCCATTTATTTTTGTATTCTTTTGGCGGCTTGTATGGGACAGATTATTTTCTTTTTCAAGTTTAACCCTCTTAGATGTATATCAGCTAGCACCTCTCTTCTACGGGTAGTTGGTTTTAGTATGAAATGAAGAAGTCAAGCAGTAACTGACATTATTTTATGGATTAGAAAATTTAGGCTTTTTATCCATTTAATTGATGGCGTCATTAAGCAACAAAATTTCATCTTGAGATATAAAATTCATATTTTTGTTCTTTTTCGGTTTTTTTCTTTCCTCTTTCCTGTTTTTCAAAACACACATCATTGGAGTTCTTGAATTCTTTTTTCAATGAGCAGCAGCCAGCAAGGGCAATGGATATCCGATATTCTGTTCTGAATGAGAAGCCAGAACTGAACAAGGTTGCCATTTTTATTTTTCAGAACCGCCGCATTGCTATAATCTGGCAATTGAGCAGTGTGGAAGCTAACCCCTGTAGACATGTGATTTTGACCTTTCCCAAGATTTTTCATATTTTAACACGTAAATATTTAATTTAGGCATAATATAAATATTTTAAGTAATTTTAACTCTTTTACTTTATTTTAATACAAGAAAATGAAAATTACAAAAAATAGTTTCATTAATGTGTTGTAGTCATTTTTAATTTTGAAAAATACAAAAAAAAAATAGTTTATTTTAACGGTCAGTCTTATTTTAATAGTTATTTTACTTAAGTAGGACTAATTAATAAATGAGATTGTATTTTAATCTCGTTCGCGGGGAAAGAATAAAATTTAGGCTCGGACAACCTATTTTTAGGCCTAATTTTGGACCTAGCCCATAATTCCTAGGCCCATATCCCTAACCTAATCCCTACTCCTAAATAGTGACCTAGACCCTAAATATTGAATCCGCCGTCTTCTGAAAGTTAAAGAAAGCTTGAATGAAAAAGATACAAAAGAAAGGAAACAAATCTAGAACCTAAGAAAAAGGCTAAAGATCAGCTAAAAAGAATAAAGGAGACAATTGGAAAAGCTGCGCCGCAATCGACGACCCCTTCCCCTTTGAAATCCCGTCTTCTTCGACTCCTCTCCCCACCGGTTCTGCTTCATCACCAACCAAAACTCCAGTTGAAAATCAGTCCAAATTCACCGGTTAAACAGCCGCAAAAAGCATCCCAGAACGCAGCAGAAACCAGCTGTGAAAATAGCTTCAAAATCAGTCCAAAATCAGCTACGTGACAATCGTTAAAGTGAGGTGATGCTCGAGTTCGCCGATTCGAGGTTCTGGTGATATCGCCTTTAGAAGTCACCAATCTTGGTTCAGATCTCAAGCAGAATTATTAAATCGAAACTCTCTATTGTACTTGGATTTTGATAGCTCCCATTGCAAATGAATTTACGGCTGATTGAGGTCCGTTCTTGCTTCTTTCGGTTTATATTTTTGGTTGATTTTGTTTATATTATGTTTGCTCGTGAATCTCTGTTCATGTGTCATTGAGTTCATACCTCGATTTGCATCGATCGGCAATGGCATTTGCGACGAATCAGAACAGTGAAATTAAGCCTTTTATGAAACGGTGTTACTTTTTTGAGGTTGATTCATAAGCATCACGACAATGCTGAAGATGAGATTATTTTTCCAGCACTTGATTTTTTCCTTCTTGCTGATATGTTTGTGCTGTTTAACTTTGTGGTAGCATGTTTAAATAACAATCTGAAGCAAGTCATTGAATTAGCTAATTTAGCTCAAGAAATTTGGAGAGTTGTTCTAATTTCGTTTCTTAGTTATGTGTCATGATGTTTTGCTCTGTTTTATGGAAGGTTCAGTATCTAACTCACTTAATTCTGTAAATATTTTATTTAATGGGTTATAAGACTTGGTATGTAAAATGGGCCATGATCACGTTCCATTAATATGGTGAATAGTTGGTTTTGGGATGCTTTTAATAATTCATGGGCCAAAAGATCTACTTTGTTAAACTAATTTAACTGGTATAGTTATCAATTGTTCATACGATGGACAACTTTATACATTAATTTAGTCAAATGATTTCATATAGAATTCGTTTTATTTTAAATAGCTGGTCCATACCCTTCCATAATAATCTTCATAAATGGTCTCAACAAGCCCAAATGTAGCGAAGAAATAATTCAAAAGTACGTAGTTGCTTTATGCGCGCTATTTTAAAAATTACCTTCCTAAACTAGGGGGGGCATTTATGTGACCCAAATACAAATCTCAACAACGTTAGATAAAATGTGTCGTGGATCGCGGGTGCATTTATGTGACATGGTTCAAGATGTGTTTTAGATGACGTTGAATCTTTCTCCTAAAAAATAGTTAAATAAAAGCGGTTATAAAGTTAAAATTGTACTATAGATTAAAACATGTATTAAAATAAGATAATAGGCCAATTATAACAGTTGAGCGACCGTGCTAAAACCACGGAACCCGGGAATGCCTAACACCTTTTCCTAGATTAACAGATTTTCTTACCCGGATTTCTATGTTCGCGGACAGTAAAACAGAGTCATTCTTTTCCTCGATTCGAGATTTGAATCGGTGACTTGGGACACCATAAAATTATCCCAAGTGGCGACTCTGAATTTAATAAAAATTATCCCGTTTCGATTGTCACTTAAATTGGAAAAACACCCCTATACCCTTACAGGGGTGTAGTAAAAAGGAGGTGTGACAGCTCTGGCGACTCTGCTGGGGAAAAGAACCTAAAACTTCTGGTTCAGGGTTCAGAATTCGAGCTTTAGAATAATTGTTATAGTTGGCTTTGTTTATTATCTGATTTTACGTGTTTGGGCATAATGTGCTAAATGTCGCTTGTTACCGCTTTGATATTATTTGAACTGTATATAAACTAATGTAAAACCCCTCTCTTCTAATCTTCGGGGATGTGCACGCTGGCGTGACTCCTCTTCTGTTAGTGTCATACCTTAAATTAGAAAGAGGCTCAGACAAGTTACAAAACCGGATGGCCTTTTGGTTCCCGGTACGTAGCCCCCTCCTCGGCTCGAGTTGTCCGCTTGGGTAAGCCAGGTCTAGAACAATAAACCCAGGTTTTAAACCTAGAATAACATAGCCTCATGCCGGATCCCTAGTAGGAACGCTTGTTTCCATCACATGCATTTGACTTTGGGGACTCAACAAAGGGGTTGGGTCCGTCTAGGACAGGTGTACCCAAATTAAAAGACCATCTTGATGCATCTTACGTGCTACTTGCGTATCTGTTTGTTTTGGCTTGCATGTTGACTGACTTCTAGAATAGGGAAAGAAAATGAAAAAAAAGAGAAAATAAAAAGAAAATAAAAAAAAGGAGAAAAAAAGAAAGAAAAGAGAGTCAGAAGCAAGTATTTGAATTATCCTGAAACTCTACCGAAATTTTGAAAAAAGAAAAGAAAAAGTCATTTCAAAATAAGTCATATTTTCCTGTTCCGTCAAAACGGGCGAACCATGCGGGTCTGATTCTCACCGGATGTGAGATACGTAGGCAAACCTCTTCGGTTCCGGCCCATCATATTAAAAAAAAATCCAAAAATACTTTCCATTACTCACTTCTTTAGAAAGTCTTTCTTTTAGACCTCAATTTTAAAAAAAATACAAAAATATTTTCTTTTAATCTCTCTCAAAATCCAAAAATATTTGTTTAAAAATTCAAAAGAAAATTCAAGATTCAAAAAATATTTTCTCTTTTCTTTTGTAGTATTTCTTTCATAAATTCAAAGTAAAAGTCCAAAAATATTTCCTTTTTTCTTTAGAAGTTTTTCTTTCGAAATTTTCAAAAAAGAAAACAAAAAAGAAAAAGAAGTTAAAATTCAAAAAATATTTCTTTAGACGTCTTTCTTTTTAAAAATTCTTTTCTTTTTAAAAAAACAAACAAATCGAAATTCAAAAATATTTTCTTTCTTCTTTGTAAGTATTTCATTCGAAAAAAAGAGTTAGTTTATTTCCTTTATTCCTGATCTTCCCGAACTACACAAGATCTGATTCATGCGGCGTCATGATACGTAGGCAACCCATATCAGGTTCGATCGACCATTTTTAAAAAAAAATGAAAAATGAAAAAAAAGAAAAGAAAAGGATGATAATAATAAGGACTGGTTGAGTCCATTCTAACATGTTTTGTTTTGAATTGTGAAGAAAGTTGAGGTGGTCAGTTTGTGGTAAGCGGACAACACAAAATCCAAGGAAAAATGATAACTGACACTGAAGCTGTTACAAGTGCTCAAGAGACTCAAGGTTAGAGGGTTCGACAAGAGTCTACTGTGTTTGAGGAAAATAGAATAATGAAACAACAAATGATCAAAATGTGTCAAGCATGGGCCAATGGCCAAGGACAGCCAAGTCATGAGTCATAATTTGCTACCCAACAAGAGCAGTACCACTCTCCTGAGTACCACTCGTACTGGTTTGATCTTCCTGCAAACATTGAGAAGCCTGCCCGAAAGATGGTACAGGAAGAAATGACCCAAAGAGTGAAAAACTTAGAACAACGGTTGGAAAACATGCAAGGGTTGGCAGGTCAAAAAAGTGTTGCCTTCAAAGATCTATGTATGTTCCCCGATGTCCACTTGCCGCCTGGTTTCAAGACTCCCAAATTTGAAAAGTATGATGGACATGGAGATCCCATAGCCCACCTGAAAAAGTATTGCAATCAACTGAGAGGTGCAGGAAGAAATGAAGAATTGTTGATGGCTTATTTTGGGAAAAGCCTTACGGGAGTAGCCTCCGAATGGTTTATGGATCAAGACACGTCTCGCTGGTATGTCTGGGATCACATGGAACATGCCTTTGTCAAATAGTTCCAATACAACATTGACATTGCCCCAGACCGCAATTCCCTTTCAAACTTGAAGAAGAAACCAACTGAAAGTTTCAGGGAATTTGCCATTAAATGGAGAGAGCAAGCGGCCAGAGTTAAGCCACCCATGGATGAGCACAAGTTAATCACTGTCTTCCTTCAGGCTCAAGAGCCAGATTATTTTCAAAACATGATGTCTGCAGTGGGTAAATCCTTCTCGAAAGCAATCAAAATGGGGGAAATGATTGAGAATGGTCTTAAGATAGACAACATTATAAGTCAAGCAATTCTCAAAGCCGCAACTTAGGCTGTCCTGATTGAATCCGATAATTTTAGTGACACGAATGAGAAGCACGAAGAAATCATGATGACATCAGGGTCGAGAAGAGGTCCTAGGA